TGGGGATGAAAATCTGCCTGGAGATTACAAGCTGGTAGTAAGTGTGGAGTAAATACTCAGGTTGGTAGTAGGGGTGGCTTGGAGCACTTAAAATCCCCCACAGTTCAGAGAAATGCAGGTTTTTGAAACGAGTTTCCATTTAAAGTTAGGCTAAATAATTTGAAGCGAGATTTTAAAGCAGTTTAATTGCATCCTAGCAGGGAGTTTGAGATGTTGATTATCCAAACATTGCCTGCCTCTGTCTCTGCTGAAGGGAAACAAAAAAGAAAGAAAAGATTGGAAGAGCTGGAGGCATCAAAAATCCAGAGGAGATTCATGGCACAGGAACTCACAGGGAGGAAAAAGGGGATCCAGAATTAGCAGAGCTTTAAATTAATGAAGAGTCTCCCAACAGGAAAATTCCCAAATAAAATATCAAGGGAATTACTGGGACCTGGGACAGAGCATCCAGAAATGAGAATAACCCCATCACCAGGGCTGTGGTGCAGCAATACAGAAAAGCAATTTATTAAATCTGTCCTGCTCTAGAAGTGGTCATTGGGCAGGGCCATTCCCTCAATTTAAAAAAAATCCCTTAATCTGGGGTCTGTGCTGCTGCTCCACTGCCTAAGCCCAGTGTACAGGTCTCCCTGTGTCTTGGAAAAAAATAAAATTTAAAAAATAAACCCCTAAAATAAACATCTCATTATCCAGTGTGTGAAAACCATCCCCTTCTTTAACCCCCTCATAAATCAGGACTATTTTATCAGAGAATTAAATATGATATAAGAATTAAACTCTTCCAAACTTTGGCCCATTTCATTTCATCCTGATCATTTTGCACATCTTACAACCTCAACTGCAACTCCAGAGCTAAATATTACTCAAAAGGCCAAAATTCTTACGTAGAGTTTGATGCCATTACAAGGAGGCTTCCAGGAGAAAAATGTTGTGTTTAATGAGGAATGGCTGTTTGAAAAAAATCCCATCTTTTCAGGAAACCACCCTAAGGCAGAGGAACATCACATCATTCCCTCCGGGAGCGGGCGGGAGGATGGAAGCAGAGCCCGCAGGACCTGACTCAGATGCTGTCTGCACAGCACTTGGGAAGCCACCAAGGTGGATCCCAATTAACAAATGCGGTGCGAACCTCTCCCACTCCCTCAAGTGCTGCCAACAGCCGGAGATTTGCGGATTTGCATCTCCGGATGGGATGCAGGCAGCAAAAGCTCCTTTTGGAAGTGCTAAATAGCTTTTCTGCACGGCCGTTTAGGCAGGCTCAGTGGAACTGGAGCTGTTCATCTGTGCATTTTTGGCCGTGCTTTGCTGTCAGGGGTTGGGTGTGCGTGAAGGAAACGCCCTTGCAGTGACAGCAGATTTGTCCCTCTCCAGAGCTCAGAAAATTGCAGCATTTGGCAGAGGTGTTACCTCAAATGCTGGAGTTGTTCCCGTTAAAACGGGCTCAGGTGCAGCATTGCAGCTGCGGTGTCCCCTCTGTAGATTAAGTCATTTGTAATTGTTTTATGTCTTTATGAATTGATTTTCAATTATTAGATAACTTTATGTAGTACATGTTTTTAAATTATTTATATTTGTGTTTATGTGGTAGTAACAAATAATTAATTGTTGTTTTGTTTTGAAGAGTTACTTGCTTTATACTGTTGACGTTTGTTAATATGTTACTTAGTGTAAGAGATGGTATGAGTGTGTTTGTTTAACTAACACTTTGGTTTAATTGAGTTAAGGTTATTTTTGATGTTGTTTGTGGTGAGAATATTGTAGTTGTAATTTTTTGAGTTTTGTTTTACCTGTGAACAGTATTATTATAATTTAGATCATATTTTTTGATATTTTCTTTCTTTATGTTTTTGGTATTTTAAAATCGTTCAGTTGGGTGTTGGTAATGAAAGTTTTTTAATGTTGTATGGAGTGTTTTTGACATTTGTAAGGATGT